AGGCTTCTTGCCTGTCCAAAGGTCATATGGGGTTTTATCAGTGGCCTTAGTTGGAACTCTGTTGAGTATATAAGCTACGGTCTTTAATGCTTCACCCCAGAGAGATTCTGGTAAGGTAGAATGACTAATCACCATATCTTTAAGCATTCTGTTTTGTCTCTCAGCAACACCATTCATAATGGGCGAACCCGGCATAGTGTACTGTAGGACGATACCGCATTCTTCTAGGAATTTAGCAAATGGCCCTGGACGTTGTTCACCTAAACCGTCATATTTGCCATAGTATTCACTTCCACGGTCAGATCTGACACTTTTAATCCTTTTGCCGAGTTGGTTCTCAACTTTAGCTTTATAGTTTTTGAACACATCCCCTGACTGTGATTTTTCATGAATGAGATATATGTAGCCATATCTTGAAAAGTCATCTATGAACGTTATAAAATATTGTTGACCATTCCAAGAACCCGTAGGGAATGGTCCACAAATATCTGTATGTATAAATTCTAAGACGTCCAAAGTCCTATTGGCTTGAAATCTCCTTTTATTGGTTTGTTTTCCCTTTATATAGTTGACACATAGATCATAATTTGTGAATTCAAGAGGGTCGAGAATCCCGTCAGACACAAGTCTCTCAATTCTCCTTTTGGAGATGTGACCTAATCTCTTGTGCCACAACGAGGCAGAATTCTCACTGGTTAATTTTCGCTTTACACCTCAAATACTCACATGCAAGGTTTCATTATAAGAAGCAATTGTATCAATTGAATAAAGATTATCGTAACCTGATAAAGAACCAGAACCAACTAATTTTGAATCATGAAACAAACTAAATTTTTCATTTTCAAATTAACAATTATAACCATATTTGTCCAAAACAGAAATAGAAATCAAATTTCGTCTAAAAGACAGTACAATAAATGTCTCAACAAGATCCAAATAAAACCCAGTCTTTAACAATAATCTAAAATTTCCTATTACCTCTACTTCCACCTTCTTTCCGTCGCCAGCATAGATGTATCTTTATCACTTGGTTTTCGACAACTCAGGCAACCCTGCATAGACATACTGATGTGAGTTGTTGCACCAGAATCTATCCACCATGTATGTCTAGGTACCGAAGTTAAATTAACCTCAGAACAAACCAAATGAAGAAGAGTACCTTTCTTTACACGCCATGCGTGGTAATTGGTGCAATTCTTCTTCTTATGACCAGCAGCTCCATAGAAGAAACAACCACCTTCAATTGATTCCTTATACTATTTCTTTTGCGGTGCTGTACCCGCAGCTTTCTTATTAATCTTCATTTTCTTGTTCCTTTTGTCCTTAGAGGTGGTAGCCAAATGAGCACTTTCTGTCTTTTCATGCTTCAATCTTTCCTCTTTCGAGACACAGTGTGAGATGAGCTCATTAAGGGACCATGAGTCCTTGTGATAGTTGTAGCTCACCTTGAATTGACTGAAATGTGCCGAAAGGGATATCAGAACCAAGTGCACCAACAAGTCTTCAGATAAATCCAACTTGAGTGCCTTTAGTTTTGAAGCAATGTGAGACATTTCCATAATGTACTCCCGAATGTTTCCTTTCCCTTTATACCTCATTGAGACAAGGTTTGCCAAAAGTGTACTTGTTTCAACCTTTTCATTCTTGGCAAATCTCTTCTTAAGATCCTCAAGGAAACCCTTAGCCGTAGTCACTTTATCGGACATAGTGCCCCGGAATGCTTCTGGAATAGCACGCTTCATGACCATTAAGCTTATGCAGTTCGACCGTTCCCACTTTTACATCTCTCTCTTGTCATCAGAGGTGCTCTTATCAATAAGTGGAGCAGGTTGATCAACCCGTAAAGCAAGGTCCAGGTCCAGGTCCATGACTCTGAGAACAATCATCACGTTCTCTTGCCATGCCCTGAAGTTTGTGCCATTAGCAATGGAATTGAATTGATGCAAGCAGAGATATTAGCAACAGAACCTGAAACTGAATTAGAGAACGATTATTATGAATAGCTCACATGAATTTCTTTAATATGCAAATAATAATAATCTCAAATAGTGGTAGGGTCCATCATAAGATACCAAGCGCACAACATCAATATCTAGTCTTTGGACAGAGATTTTGACTTGTAAGCGGTACTCTTGGCGTAGTTATCAAACATTGACGATAAAACATGTATCAATTAATAAACAATTCTTTGGACCGATTTATTGATCACACATTAAACCAAATAATCATCACACATTTATCACCACAGGTGCTCATGTATTCGGCTAAATATTGACATTCTTTTGGACCGACCAATATTCCCATGAATAACACATGCACTAACATCTTTTAATATTCTAAGTTAATTAATTTCCACAAGAGAAGTTACTTTGGCAACATGTTATTTCAATTAACTAACTTTCGAACATTATATCTCTTAAAAGAGTCCTTAGTACCAAAATTTGAGAAAGAGAATCACCAATTTTGCATATTTGATTTAGCTTTAAACTTTAGGGGCCCTAGGATTAATAATTCAAAACTTTATGGGGGCAAAATTAATTAATTCCAAACTTTAGGGGTTGAAATTAATAAAATTGAAACTTTAGGGACCATAATTAATTAATTCAAAACTTTAGAGGATCTATTAGAACAAATTTAAAACTTTAGGGGCCAAAAGTTGACCAATTCAAAACTTTAGGGATCAAACTTTGAAAATTTGAAACTTTAGGGGTCAATTTGAATTAATTATAAACTTTGGGGAGCAATTTGAATTAATAATTAAAGTTTGAGGGCTTTAATTATAAAATTTAGAACTTTAATGGCCCGAATTAATTAATTTTTAAACCTTTGGGACTGAATTATTAAATCCAAAACTTAAATGTCCAAATCTAAATATAACTTAAATGTTAGGGACTGGAACTTCAATTTTATAACCCTAACCCTAATTGCAATTAGGGGCCTCAAATTATCTAATTTACAGAAAAAGCCCCCACCCCAAAATCTTGCTGAAAGAGAAAGAAAACCCTAAAAAAAAAAAAAGTTTTCTCTCTTCCTCTCTTGGGCGGCGCCAAAGGGAGCAGTGGCGCCGGGGTGACTGGCGCCACATGCAGCGCCCAGTGCTGCTGCAATGCGCTGCTCGCACAGCAGCGCGTTAAACCTTTGGGACTGAATTATTAAATCCAAAACTTAAATGTCCAAATCTAAATATAACTTAAATGTTAGGGACTGGAACTTCAATTTTATAACCCTAACTCTAATTGCAATTAGGGGCCTCAAATTATCTAATTTACAGAAAAAGCCCCCACCCCAAAATCTTGCTGAAAGAGAAAGAAAACCCTAAAAAAAAAAAAAAGTTTTCTCTCTTCCTCTCTTGGGCGGAGCCAAAGGGAGCAGTGGCGCCGGGGTGACTGGCGCCACATGCAGCGCCCAGTGCTGCTGCAATGCGCTGCTCGCACAGCAGCGCGAAGCTGTTGCTCCTCCAGCAGCGGCTGCTGCCGGAAAAGCCAAGAATTAAATTTTTTTTTCAAATCCCAAAAGAATCTAAATCCAAAACCTGAATCAACCATAATTTGAATTCTTCTCAAACCTCAATTATTTTTAATCCAAATTATGAAAGATAAACAAGAATAAAATACCGTAATGTTTTCAAATTCAACAAAAATAAATCCAAATTTTTTAAATCTGAAAATTTCAAAATAATATTTCAAGAACCAAATAAATTATTCGATTCTCAATGATTCAACATGAAGAGACTCTGATTCCACTCGTAGGATAATTTAATACTTTAAATCACCGGATCTTTCATGTTAAATCATCAAGAAATTGAAGAACTGTAACGGAAACGTACCTGAATCAGACATGGTTATTTGCAATAATTGAATCTTGCGGTATAATCTTCCAAATCTACATGCAGTCTCATTTATCTCTCTATGATGGGATGCAGTAGAGAATGAATAATACGTACGTGTGATCTGGGGACTATAACCGTATTTATATAGTGACGCCCTTTGACCTAATTCAGCCCATCATATAATTAGGACTTGAGCCCGGTCTCTACACATATGTAAACCCACACTTTAATTGGATACATTAAAGCCGAAAATCGAAGCCTTATTAGATCACTTTAATTGGGCTCAACCGAATTCGATAGCTTTTAATTTAACACACAATTATTCACACATATAAGCACATCGATGGATTAAAAATTCTTACACATACATCTAAATCACTACAGAAAATTTATACTCTCCCTACAAATTTTTGGGAGACAAATTAAATTTTGTTGGAGGAATTCACTTTTTCCTACAAAAATAATGTTTCATAGGGCTATGGTTTGCTTCAAAATTTTCAATAGTAGGAAGACTTGTACCCACAAAAAATTGCATTTTTTTCCTGACAAAAAAATTTGACGGTAAAATTAAATCTTTTGCCAAAAAAGTAATTAAAGTGTTTGTAGGCTAATAATTAGTGGGAAAATTTTCTTTTTACTATTTGTATTTTTAGTCCCTACAAAATATAATTTGAAGCGAAAAGATAATTAAAAATATATATTTATAGAAAAGATAATTATTTTTTGTTAACAAGATCCAAATTTAAGAAAATCCATAAATACATAGAATCCACGTCTTTCCTACTTCTCCAAAATTTTGCCCTCAGAAAATTTTGGCAAAAAAATCTTCCCTCCATGCCTCTTTATTTAATTGAAGAATAATCTCATATACAAGTAAAGATGAAACCTTTCCACTTTATTTAATTGAGGAATAATCTAATATACAAGTAAAGATGAAACCTTTCCACTTGGATTGGCTTGCTTGGCACTTTGTCAGACCAGATGGGGAGCGCTTGGACCCTGGCCAGTTGGAGGCACATCCTGCGATTAACCGGACTGTGTGAAGAGGGGCCGGATCACAGACCC